GAACTCCTGAGCTAACCGTTCGCACTCGATCCGTGGAATGTAGCGAGCATGGAGAAATCCCTGAACTGCTCCCAAGTAACTGTAGCTCTCTGATCATCAGTGTAAGATCCAGTCCTCAACCTCCACCAGTCCTTTGCCTCAGACCTGAGCAGGGTTAGGGCACATCTGACCTTTTGGTCAGTAGGACATGAACATGTGAAGAAACACCACTCCACGTCAGAAATCTACCTCATGGCTTTGATGGGGTCCTGAGTCCCATAAAAAGTAGGGGGCTTTGTGTTATCGAAGTCCCTGTACTGAAAAGCCCAACCGGCTCCTCCCCCTGTCGTCGTTACAACTGATGTAGCTGTTGCGGCAGCTGTCTCCGCAAAGGATGCATAACGCTCATCAAAATACTCAACCATGGCAGTCTTAAAAGACCCAAGCATCTCCGGTAGCTGTGCCAGGAACAGAGTAGCGACCTCATTATGCAGGATTTCTCGGATCCTGGCGTCCAGCTCGTCTAACCTCATCTGACTAACAACCTCGGGCACCGCCGGTCCCTCCTGACCGCCATCACTGATCCTGATCCGGATCCAGTCACGAAGTGTCTCGTAACCACCATTCTGATAATACGCCAGAGTGATCTTAGATAACCCATATAATAACAGGGAACTAACTCCCAACTAAACCCTAGGGGTTGTGACTTCCTTGCTACGTGTATGGGTCCTATGCTTTCAGTAGTACGGGCCCATACTACCTTCCACACCTACCCATATTTGTCTCAAGTGACATCACAATGATCTAACAATATACAATAACATGGCGAGCACTCAATCCTCACTCCTAGAGGAATGCTAAATATCTCATACTGGCCTACCGACCTCGCACAACCCACCCATCCATGAAATTTCCACCAACCCTGCAACACTATTGTATGCTAGACATACATAACGCTGGACCTCATAGACATCCAAATACTCTGTCCTACTCTAAGCCCAAAACCAAACAAGGAATAGGAAATAAAGTTGAACCAAACATTCTCATACTATAAGATCTTAATTATGTACAACCTATGATGCATACACTGAGCAACGACAGTAATGATGTCAATTTCATATAAGGAAAACCCGAGGCTATCAGGCATCATGTAATCAGGCAATTTTATCATGCAATTCCTGAAGATCCCTAGCCTAGTACTAGCATGTTGTTCTAACATATCACAAAATCAAATAACTGTATGCTATTTTGGGGTCTACTTACTGGCTCCGACTGATCGTACACCCTGCATCCTCCTTTGATATTTTGAAAACCTTTTTGAAAATCTTTTCCTTAGTTTGAGACTGGATTCATACAAGTGTTCCTCCAATTCACTCAAACCAAGGCTCTGATACCAACTTGTAACATCCATAAAAATCATGCCAAATTTAAACTTTTTCAAAACATTTTAAAATCATTAATCATTACAAAACTTTTTTCAAAATAGTATAATATCATAGTATCCCAGAAACACGTCATAAACATGAGGAGCTGTACGATCACGCCTATGCCTTCCCGCGATCATCTGATGTACCTGAAACAAAAACTGAAATTGTAAGCCCTAAGCTTAGTGAGTTCCCCCAAAATACCGATACACTGCAAATAACACATATACAAATAACAGCATGTACTGGGTCCACAGCTTTACAGAATGGATTACCTATGACCCATAGTGTGAGTCTGGATTGTCTTCTGGTCCCACAACTTACATCTGGATTGCCTCCGAGCCCACAGTACGAGTCTGGTATGCCCTACCCGGCCCTCAGCTCGTATCTGGAATGCTCCCCAGCCCACAGTACGAGTCTGGCATGCCCTACCCTGCCCTCAGCTCGTATCTGGAATGCTCCCGAGTCCTCAGTATGAGTCTGGCATGCCCCGCCCGACTCTCAGCTCATATCTGGAATACTTTCGGGTTTGTTGGCTACCGCACGGAGCAGTATAACCTCAACCCAACCCACATAATATGTCGACATATAACATAACTAATGCACATACAGATAATCAGGTAATAACACAGGTATCCATACAGATCTACCAACTGGCATAGAAACTAGCATGCATAACTAACTCGTACTCAACATAATACAACTGCTAGGATATCATATCCAATGGGCTGGCATTGGTGCATTCGACCCATTAGTATAGTGAGGATAACTAACCTCTCGACTGTCGAATCGAAGTGATAATCTCAAACTCTCGAACCACGGCCACGAAGTGCACCACCTATATTTACCATAAGACCATTTCCATAAATTTCTAATCTACCAAAATACCCCAGAAGTCAACTAGTCAACCCTTGGTCAAAGTCCAAGTCAATGGTTAAGGTCAGCAGTCCATGTTGACCCGACTCGTCGAGTGCAGTTCACCGACTCGTCGAGTCCTTCCAGAACTCGAGAAGTCGTGAAATCCCCAGTTGACTCGTCGAGTTTCCCTGCAACTCGTCGAGTTCATGCATGTCCAAATGTCGGGAAAACCCTAGCTGACTCGCCGAGTCATCCTACTGACTCGCCGAGTCCATGCAGAAATCCTTGCACGACAATATTCATTGGACTCGCTGAGTTGGCCATGCAACTCGTCAAGTTCGTTTAGTCCTTTCTCCATTCAGATGCCTTTTAAGCCACTCCAAAGCTCCATATTGCAGATCAAGCTTCCCAAGGCATGTTTATCACGTAAAGTTGCAAACTTTACGTGCATGTAATGCTCTATAGGCTTAGAATGTCAAATCCAAGCTTATAATGGGGTTTAATTCAAAATGGAAGGTTCATACTTGCTAAAGCTAGTGACTTCATAGCTATAGAGACCAAGATAAGCTCAGATCTGAAGTTGCAACTTCAGATCCTAGCCCATACCCAAAAATGGCTAATATATGCTAGAAAAGCCCTAATCTTAAACATAAAGAGCTCTAGAAAGAGGGAAGGTCATGGTAACGACTTGTTACCTTCAAACTGATGCCAATAAGTAGAAGAGTCAGATCCACTAGCTCCTCTATGCACAAATCCTTTTATGCTTTAAGTGTTCTTCTTCCAAATCACCTTCCAAGCTTGAAAATCATACAAAATGGAGCACACACACTAATTGGGGTTTCTGGATTCACAAGGGGCTGTAAGGGGAGGCTAAGGGGGCAAAGGATCCTTTAAATAGGGTGCAAAACCCCGAAAATTAGGGTTTCATCCTTCAGCTCCAACTCGTCGATTCGTGTCTTCCGACTCGTCGAGTTGGTCACTTAAACACGTGGCCAAAAACGTTTCTACTCGACGAGTCAGGGCATCCAACTCGTCGAGTAGACCTTTTAAATATGAAAATAAAGCTGTAAAGTCCATACCTAAGAGTCGGGGCGTTACATTTGTAATGCTTGTTGATTGAAAGATGGCAGCTCCATCCCTATAGTAAACACAAAAGGGTCATGTAACTCTCATTGCAAAGTTATACCTTTATATTTTTAAGTATACAAATCTATATAACATTGTAAAACTGATCTAAACATAAGTTCCTCCAAAATTTAACTTCAAAAGCATCACATTGTATGTTTCGTTACCTCCAACCCATGCAAAGCATGGGTCACCCTCTAATTGTTAATGAGAATTCAAACTTGAAAATATTTAAAAAACTTTTTTCTGGACTGAAGTCGTAACATAGTTTCAAATATGGGCTGGAATTGTAAAAATTAGGCTAACTTTGTAATAAACTTTCAAAACTGGGGTAAAAACTGTAAGTTAGAGTAAATGATAGGTAGGAGGAAATAGCCATGCCAGCTAAACCTGACAATTTCAGACATGAATACACGAATCTGTGAGAGACACGATACGACACGAATACATCTTAAAAATTGAGATAAATCTTATTTCTCATCATGTAATCGTATCGTATCAAATTCATGACTGACACGTTTTCATGACACGAATACACGAATTGTTAGGTCTAAATTGCCAGCTAGTTAGCTGCAACAAATTTAGATTTTCAAAACCTACAATAAGTCAATAACCTTTTTAACCATTAAGGCGGCTCAAGATAGAATCTGAAATTATCGAAACGCTTATACACTAACGCGGCGCAAGATAGAATCTGAAATTATCGAAACGATTACGAAAAGTAACTAATTGTCGAATGTATGTAGTTTATAATGAATAAATAAATGTCTTTGCTTATCCTCCGATTTTCCCAGACAGGAAATTAGGTGAAGCCAACAAAGTCAACGGTCAACGGACTCGGTTAGCAGCACAATAACCACCGACACCAAAATCATCCCGATCACTGCCGGAATTGTGAAGCTTTTCTGGATACAAGAGATATCGTGAAGAATCAAAGGTCCGATCAGGAGTAGCTAACGAACGATATTACCAACACCTATGAAGGATACTGACTCCTCTTTCATGCACCCAGACCAAACATGTCAGCGTTTTACACTTTCTGAGATTCAATCGGCAACCGAAAACTTCGACGAGGCTTTAGTCATTGGCAGGGGAGGATTCGGCAAGGTGTATAAATGTTCCAAAATCGGGTCAATGAGCGATGTTGCAGTCAAACGGTTGCATTCCATGTCCAATCAAGGAGCCCATGAATTTGAGTCGGAAGTCAAGCTCCTCTCTAAGCTGCGACATGGTAATCTTGTATCCTTAATTGGTTATTGCAATGAAGTAAAAGAGATGGTGCTCGTTTATGAGTTCATGCCCAATGGGACACTTGAAGATCAACTTCGCTCCCCTGATTTATCTTTATCCTGGTTACAACTACTCAAGATATGTATGGGGGCAGCTCGAGGATTAGACTACCTTCACATGGGTACATCAACTCAACATGGAGTCATACATCGTGATGTGAAAACCTCCAATATTTTGTTGGATGCAGACTTTGCAGCTAAAATTTCAGATTTCGGATTGGCTAAAGTTGGGGTAATTGATCAGACACGAACTCATATGAGCACAGCTGTGAAAGGGACATTTGGGTATATGGATCCGTGCTATTTCTATACAGGAAAATTGACAATGAAATCTGATGTTTACGCTTTTGGTGTTGTACTATTTGAGGTGTTGTCAGGAAGAAAAGCTGTAGATTCAACCCTTGATGAAGAGCAATGGGGTTTAGCAGCTTGGGCTCAACAGCAAATCAAAGAAGGAAAACTCAATCAAATTATTGACCAAAGACTAATCGGACAAATCTCCAGAAAGTGCTTGAAGGAGTTTGCAAGCGTAGCAGGCCATTGTTTACACACCCAACCAAAACACCGCCCTACCATGGCAGAGGTTGTGGTCAAGCTCGAGTCTATTCTTTCACAAGAAAGAGAAAGCGCCAATTCAATTATTGAAGAAGAAGGATTCATTTACAAGCTTAGATCTTTTTTCACAGGCAAAGTTGATTCTGCAATAGAAAACAAATCTGATTTCAGTTCGCACCATAAACCAATAGTAATCACAGTTGATACTGCAAATGAAGTCAATACAAATCAAAGTTTCAGAACTTTCACGTATGCTGAATTGGTGATTGCAACAAATGGTTTCAAAGACGAAGACGAATCCACAGCTTTAAATGCATCCGTTTACAAAGGTTGGGTTGATGAAAGGACATATGCGCCAACAAAACATGGTGTTGGTTACCAATGCATGTTAGGAAGATGGAGATTTCAACACAAAAGGTACATCCAATCTTTGAAATGATGATGATGTGGGAATAACTTTAAATCGCATAATGTATGAGCCTCGTATATTTTTCATGCATTCTGATATTTTCTAGCTTTGTTAAGTTAACAATTTGGTTGTGCAGACGGACATCAAACTAGAAGATTTCAATCATCCCAACCTTGTAAAACTCTTGGGATATTGCTTGAATAATCACCAACTATTTTTTGTTTACGAGGACATTTCAGCCATAACTTTGGATAAATATCTTTACGGAGGTCAGCATCCCTTCTAGTTATATCTTACCAATAATAGGAAAGTACTTACATTTTTCTTTTTTTTACCAATAATAGCAATGTACTTTCTTTTTCACCTATATATAAACGTACTTACATTTTTCTACCAATATCGCCAATGTACTTTATTTGTTACATCTTGCCATTATTGGTAAAGCATATGTACATTGCTATTATGAATACATAATTGTTCTATATTGCTATTATGTGTAAAGTGAATGTTTGTATGTTACTATTATGAGTTACATATTGCTATTATTGGTAAAAAGAGAAAAAGTGTGTAAAGTAAATATATTGCGATAATGTGTGAAAAGTAAAGTATCTGTAAAAAGAGTAACTATGTTGCTCTTTTCTGCAATTTCCCCTAAAATATATGCAAGGTTAAAAATCGCATTTTCCTTTTTATATTACTTTATACGCAGAGTCAGGTAGAACTTCACTTTCTTGGGTTGCACGATTAAAAATAGCAACAGGAGCAGCTGAAGGGTTGGTTTATTTACATAAGAGGAAACAGCCAGCATATAGCCAATTTAAGACCGATCTTATATTGGTGGATACGGTAAAAGATAATTTTATTAACGTGCTTGCAGCATGACATCAGTTTTACTTATATATATATATATATATATATATATATATATATATATATATATATATATATATATATATATATATATATATATATATAGTTATATAATTGATGTTTATTTTCAGGATTTTAATGCTCGGCTTTCGGATTTTGCTTTTGATTCTCACTCATTCCAATTGGATGCATATTATTATGCAGCCCCTGAGTGGTTTCGTTACCAAGCAGACACATTTGATAGTCTTAACCCACTGCGGCTGCCCGAAGATGGTATCGTCTTCTTTAAAAGTGAAATATTTTGTATATCTAAAATTTATATAACAACCAATTGTTTACCATGCACTTACCATAAGCCTTTGGTTGGATGGAATGGAATAACGTATGAATGGAATTATTAAAACTAATTTAATACGCAAGGTAATGGAATAGGTCATTACATTCCACATCATGTTTGGTGGACCCGTAGAAATGGAATGAGTGTTTATACAATTTTTGTATTGAATATTTAAGTACGAGGTATAGTTTAACAGTATTTTCTATATAACTTATCGAAATAAATATACAATTTATTATTTATAAAAATAAAAGATTAAACATAATAGAAGCTCACCAAAACCCAAATGAGATTACAATAGAAAATTTCTAGTTATTTTTCATAAATAAAATCATATTTAATAAAAATCAAGAATTCTTAAAAGGTTTGTGTCATTAAAATTTTTATAAATAGGAATGGGTTATATTACAGTTTTTCATTCCATTCCATGATGGAATGAAAAAAAAAATGTCTCATGTCTAAAGAATGAAAATGAACATAATGGATGGAATCGAATTCCTTAAGGAATGCTCCATTCTGTTACATCGGACAAACATAGCATCTTTTCTTTTCTAACCAAGGAAACGACCATTCCATTCCTTCTTTGATTCCATCATACCAAACACATTTTTCAATGGCTGATCAATCAAACACTACTTTGACAGGTTTTTGCAATCAAGAGTGAAATCTATGCTTTTGGAGTGGTACTGCTGGAAATACTAACAGGGATGAAGGTGTATGACAAGAGGAGACCCCTCGGAAAGCAAAAACTGGTGGAATGGGCTATTCCATTGCTAGAAGATGAGGTTAATTTGAGTATGATTATGGACCCACGACTTGTACACAACGATTCTTCCCCAAAGGGAGCATTCAAGTTGGCTCAACTTGTTTTAAAATGCCTTCAACTAAAACAAGACAAACGCCCATCAATGGAATATATCTTGCAGGTCTTGCATCATTGCTATCAAAATGAAATCAAAACCGTTTGACTATTAAAAGACAACCATAATCGTTCTGATGTTAATAGACGATGTTAATAGACCTGTGCATTGTGAATGTACAGTATACCATCCTGGAATTTATCTGAATAAACAAGTAGGAAAGATAGTACTCAATGAATGCTTGATCCATTTGTAGAATGTCTAAATAAAGTTAGTATATATCTCTTTGAGATTTTTGGGATACATATTCGGTACTCATGTTCAAATTCAACAAGAATCAAGTAGTTGGCTAGTAGATCATGTGGGACTATATTGAGTAAAGCATGTTGTAGTTCCAAATTCCAACCTTTTAGATCGAAGTCAACTAACAAACTCTTACAATTTGTTTGTTAATTTTTGCTTAGAACATCAGCATTTTATAAGGTTAGAAAGGAGATAGACTTCACTAAACAAAATAACAGCACATCAACATCAGCAAGGATGGGATTTTGAAGCCACCTCACCCAAGTTTATTTTGACCTTCCTACTAAGCCTGTTGTTAACTTAGACAAACTGACAAACTGCCGAGTAACAATTTTGTCAAACAAATCAGCCTCTTTAGACTTACCTTTAGAAACAAAGCAGCATTTCCAAATAACTATAAACTCCACCGAGAAGTATAAAAAGTGGCTTCGAGATACTAAAGGAATTATTGTTCATTTTGATATCTTAGAGTTTATCATATACGTATGTAGAGGATAATGCAGTGTTTATCTTTATTTTAAACTTTACTTGTTACCTAAGTTTTAGCCTCTGATCAGAAGGGATCCAATTTTGTAAATTTTTGGGTTTAATGAAAGCAACTTTTTTGAACCATCAAATTCTTTATGGTATCAGAGCAGATCTGTTTCAAGAAGATCGAAGACGGCTAGACGATGGCCGGAGACAATGCCGAATCAACCAAAAAGGACGGCGAAACAGTCGGGGCTAATTCGTCATACTATATCCATGCCTCAGACTACCCCAAATAGATGCAGATGAATAATTCTCTTTCCGATCGCAATTACAATGATTGGGTTCAAGAGATGATAAATTTTTTGTTTGCTAAAAACAAATTTGTTTTCGTTGACGGAACCATTCCCAAACCCATTGATACTTCCGCTGATTATATGCCATGGATGAGATGTGATGCCATGGTAAAGGGATGGTTGACTAGCGCAATGGAGAAGGACATCAGGTCAAGTGTCAAATACACAAACACTGCTGTGGAAATATGAGCTGATCTAGAAGAGCGATTTGGAAAGGAGAGCGCAACCCTTGCCTAAGAATTGAAACAAACACTCAACAACACGTCTCAAGACGATGCTTCTGTCTCAGCTTATTACACATGAGTGAGGAGTTTATGGGATGAAATTCAAACCATATCGCCAATACCTCGTTGCACGTGTGGGAAGTGTACCTACGATATTGGCAAAAGACTCAGTGAATCCAAAGAAAAGGAAAGGCTTTACGAGTTTTTAATGGGTCTTGACAATGTCTTCTCAACAATAAAGACTGAAATTCTTGCTTCCAAACCTACTCCTACACTAGGTACGACTTATCACCTTGTCTCGGAAGATGAACAACAACGTGCTATTTCAACAACAAAGAAGCCAACATAAGAAGCTATTGCATTCCAAAGCTCAGGTAACCGACGTGAGTGAGGTTCTAACCGACGTGAGTGGGGTTCTAACCGACGTGAGTGGGGTTTTGACCTCACATCTCAACGTAACGAAGGGGTGGCGAAAGACACAAAACAAAACGGTAGTGATGAAGTCGAGCATTGCACCTTTTGTGGAAGAAGTGGACACAACAAGGAAGGTTGCTTCAAACGTATTAGTTACCCGTAATGGTGGCTAGGAAAAGGGAAGAAAGATAAGGCGAAACCGAAGGCTGCTGTGGCAAATCTCGAGACAGGCCAAGTTCCAGCTCTTTCCGGTGAACAATATCAAGGGTTACTCAAATACTTTGCAAAGGAATCTAGTATTAACACCAAACCTTCTGTTAACATGGCTGGTAAGAACATCAACGTGGCAGGTAGGAAAAATAATAATGGTTCTTGGATTATAGATACAAGAGCCACAAACCATATGATGAGTGATCAAAACTTACTCGAAAAAAAAGGTTCTTTGTGACAATGAGTTCCCGGTAACTATACCTAATTGTTATTCCATCCCTGTCAAAGGAAAGGGGGCATTCCATCTTCCCAACGGAATTAAGATTGGGAATGTTTTTTACATTCCAAAATTTGATTGCAATCTTTTATCTGTTAGTCGTCTCACTCACTGATGAACTAAATTGTGCTGTAACCTTTTACCATGACTTTCGCCTCATACATGACCTACACAAGAAGAGCTTGATTGGCATGGGTAAGTGCAACGGTGGTCTTTATCAAATGGATTCAGTTGCGGGAGAGAAGAAAGCTTTAATGGTGGCGCCGGATGTTGAGGTGTGGCATAAAAGGCTTGGACATGCATCTGTGTCTAAGTTGAGTCAAGTTGATTTTTTAGAAAATTCTGTAAATAAGTTAAATGATAGAGTTTGTGATTCGTTTGTTACGGCTAAACACACAAGACTTCCTTTTCCTAATAGTTATATTAAAACGATTGTGTGTTTTGAATTAATTCACTGTGATATATGGGGAAGTTATCGCACACCTTCACTTACTACGGCACATTATTTTTTTACTATGGTTGATGATTATAGTAGAGTTGTTTGGGTGTTCTTGCTCAAAAACAAACATGAGGCCAACCAACAATTACTTAACTTATGTAATATGATCAAAACTCAATTTGGAAAAGATGTCAAGAAGATCAGAAGTGATAATGGAGGAGAATTTACTTCCGGACTCATGAATGATTTCTATTCTAAGATGGGAATTATTCATGAGACTTCGTGTCCACACACCCCTCAACAAAATGGGGTTGTTGAACGAAAGCACAGGCATCTTTTTGAAGTTGCAAGAGCCTTGAGATTTGAAGCAAGCCTACCGATAAAATTTTGGGGTGAGTGCGTTCTCATTGCTACCTACATTATTAATTGATTACCTTCCAAGGTCCTGAATTCTAAAACACCATATAAAGTCCTTTTTTGCAAAAGCCTGGTTATTTTCACATGAAGGTATTTGGGTGTCTAGTCTATGCTAGAAACACAAATACCAAAGGGGACAAATTTGATGAAAGAGGAAAACATGGGGTATTTATAGGATATCCGCATGGTCAAAAGGGATACCGAGTACTTGATACAAAACTAATAAGATAACAGTGACAAGGGATGTGAAGTTTGTCGAAGACGTTTTTCAATTTTCATCAAACACACAAAAACTTCAAAGTCATGACAAAGACAAAGTTGATGTTGGTTTTGATCTAAACGAAGAAGATGAAGACTTGGTGCACTTCAAACACTTAATCGTTGAAGCAAACCAAGAATAAATAAGGATTAATGTTGACGAACAAGATCTTAACGAAGAAAGTGAGGTTAATGTTGGGGAACAGGAAAACATTACAGGTACTCCTGGGGTCACTGAAAATATCGATGATAATCTACTTGACACTACAAGATAAAAACTTGTAAGAGCTGTCCTGAAAAGATTTGATGATTATATTGTGAAATTACCTCCTTCGATAGAACATGCACACCCTACAAGCCATCAAGTGTCTTCTACGGTACATTCTCTCACTAATTATATATCTTATGAAAATTTTCCTGACAGTCACAAAGCGTTTCTTGCTGCCATTAGCTCCAATGTAGAAACACAATCTTTTAAACAGGCATATGAAAACGAAAATTGGGTGACAAAAATGGAGAATGAAGTAAAGGCACTTGAAGACAATGGTACGTGGACTCTTGAAGACAATGATGCATTCCTTCATGGGGACCTTCAAGAAGAAGTCTACATGAAAATTCCAGACGCATTTTCAAACAAAGGAGATACTCGAGTGTGTAGGCTACGAAAGTCTATGTATGGACATCGACAAGCGTCAAGAAACTGGTATCAGAAGTTCACACTAGCACTCACAAGTCAAGCATTTCAACAGTCAAAGGAAGATGCGTCTTTGTTCATCTACAATAAACGATAAGTTTTTATTACTGCACTCATCTATGTTGACGATGTCATTATTGCTGGAAATCGTATGTCAAGAATAGAAGCAACGAAAGCCTTCCTTAATCGGAAATTCAACATTAAAGACTTGGGCCAGTTGGAGTATTTTTTGGGTATTGAGGTCGCTAGAATAAGTGGAGGAATAGTTCTAAGCCAACGGACGTACACTCTTGATATTCTTGATGATTGTGAATTGCAAGGCTGTAGACCTAGTTCATTTCCAATGGAACAAAAATTGAAGTTAGATCATGTGACAACTCGAAATTTCTATCTGGTACAACCATTCACCTCATTAGAAGTCAGATTTGTTTTTGCTAACTTTTAAGCTGTTTGGAGTCATTTTGAGTGTTCTAAAGCCTAATACTTCAAGAGGTAATTATAGGAAGTATACTTTAGAGTTTGTTGTGCATCATTTATGTCTCAAAACTCCAAGAGTTTGGAGTTTACGGCCCCAAACATGGAGTTTACGGCCGTAAACTCTAAAGAGTATAAATATGACACTTAGTCATTTTTGGCTCATTCTTCACCTTCCAAGCTCAAGAACACCCACATTCTCTCTCAAGTATCATAAGATATTCTTCCAAATTTTCCAAAAATGTAAGTGTTTCTTCTCTTGATTTGTTGATACAACACTTCATCTAGTAGTTATACATGATTTCATCCATGAAATATTCTCTTTTTCATAGATCTTTAAGTGTTCTTCATTTCACCAAGAACACCAAGAACACACACTAGTGTTCTTGGACCTTAAACACTCTTACAAGCTTCCCATAAGTAAGTACACCCCTCTCTACTAGTTATGTGCTTAGATTACTTGTTAAACCATGGAAAAAAACCAAGAAGTCCTAAGAACACATGGGTTTACGGCCAATGCAATCTCCTTGGACCGTAAACACCATTAGGTGGTGTATATGTGCCACCATTACCT